CCATGTGGGCCTACACAGTGAGACCCTGTCTCAGGGAGAAGAGGAGGAGGAAATAGTTAATAAATACTAGAATACTAGAGCCAACATCTGAGTGACTATAACCCTAAGACGTAGAATCAGGTTACCCCAAATATTTTCCAGAGTGGTGACAGTTTCATGGTTATAGAACAAGAGTGCCATAATCAGAGTCCTTTTCAAGGCTGGACTGTCAGGTAGGGGGGTCAGAACAAGCGGGGATCTCTGCTGCGGTTCCAGCTGCTGTCTGACAACATAGTTTCTGGATGGGGGAGCTGGTGGTCAGCTAATACACCCCAAAATGTTCCTCAGGAGAGCCACAAAGACACCAGGAACCACACAGAGGTGGGCAACGAATGGCTATTCCTGTGGACGAAGACAGTCCAAGATGGCTTCGCTCCAGATCTTCAGCTCTCACAATGACTAAATTCTTAGTCCAATGCTCTCCCAGCTGAGCTGCTGTGGCATGCAGTTAGGGAATTCTGTGCGGCTGACCAGACTCAGAACCTTTCACATAGGCGTAGGGTGTTTCTGAGAACACGGACGTGAAGACAGTCCATAGCGGTCTTTACAGATGGGCCCGAGGGTGGTGTGGACAGGCCGATAGGTGGGAAGGACCCCCAAAGAGTGTGAGGGGTGAGGTCGTGGCTCAGATGGCCGGGTAGGAGACTCAGTGGTGTCAGCCGGGCCTATGCCACACCCAGCACACATGGAACCCTTGCTTGCCCCTGGCAGGGGCTTCTGCGAGCAAGGCACTGCATGGGAGCAGAGACCTGCTTTACTGGTCCTTGAAACTACTCCCATGCCTCATGGCATCAATGGCTCTCGGCAGATCTGTACGCCTGGTAAGGACGGCTGAATTCTCACGCAATTGTGCCTGTAGTGGCCACACAGCAGAGGCCTATGGGGGAATGAATGAATGTCTCAGGCCTCTGCACACCCAAAAGAGATGACAAGGAAACAGGTTCGGAGGAGTCCTGAGAAGAACCCCAGCCTGTGAAGAACCGGTACCGGCCTCCCTTCTGGGACCTGACTAGCCAGCGTCCCTTTACTCCGGGCCTGTAAAGTCTTATTGCCACTCAGGAGCGTCTGTGCCATGCAGGTGACGCTGCCGATTAGTCATGGCCGGGGGAAGGGCTCGTCTGTCCTCAAACTAGAGAGGCTTTTCCTGTAGCTTCCAACCGCCTTATAAATAAATAAAGTACACTCGGCACGTCCGTCCGTGGCCTCGGCGCACGTTTGCTAAACTGTGCTCCCTGGTGGGTGGGTCAGGGGCGGCCGTGCTCCTGTGCTTTGAGGCGAGAGAGGGCTCCGAACTGGGAGCAGGCTTGCGCTTCTCCGCGTGGCCTCTCTGGAGCACCGTTCTGGACACCGAATGCAGTCCGTCTCTCCGCTGAGGTCTCGGCAGTCACCAGCAGCCTCCCAGGTTTTCCAACGCTTCCTGCAGGCTGGAGGGCGGGAGTGGGGGTGGGGGGGAGGAGGGGGTGGGGGATGGAGGGCGGGGGTGGGGTGTGGGGGATGGAGGGCGGGGGTGGGGTGTGGGGGATGGAGGGCGGGGATGGGGACAGGGGTGTGGCGGGGAGGATGGGGAGAGACGGGGGACGGGCAGAGGGGCGCGGGAGCTCGGAGGTTGAGGGTAGAGACCCGTCAACGCCTGCCGTCGGTTTAGCGCCAGGATACGCCGGCTACGACCTCAAGCCACGCCGTAGGATTCCAGGCCCATCACTGTTCACGCGTTCCTACGCCAAAGAAGCCACAGCCAGAACTTTCTCGAGCCTCGTGGGTTTCGGGAGTTGCGCCTCACGGGGCCTCTGGCTTCTGCGCCGAGTCCTCGGTGTGAGCAGAGATGCAGTTGTGTCTGCCGTTGAGGACTGTTTACCGGGCCCTGCCGGCGCCGTGGCTGTGAAGGCCCCAGAGAGGCTGTCTTCTCCGTCACCAGCCCGAGATGGTGGTTTCGCCCCGGTTTACCCTGCGCACTTGGCTGTGCAAATGAGCGGCTTCTAGGCCCCTGGACAGCGAGTTCACGGGGATGGGATTGCGCTTTCAGACTCTACGCCTGGTTTTCTTTTGTCCCTGCTTTTGATTCATGGCTTCTTGCCGGTGCCCACATTCCTCCAAGTCTCCTGCAATCTATTTCGGAGCAAGAGTCTGTGAACCGGGGCCGGAGACATGTCTCAGAGGTTAAGAGCAGTCCTGCTGGCTGCTCTTCCCGAGGTCCCGAGTTCAATTCCCAGCAACCCGTGGTGCTCACAACCATCTATAATGAGATCTGGTGCCCTCTTCTCGCTGTATACATAATAAATTAATAAAAAAAAATCTTTAAAAAAATAGTCTTTGGGCCCTTAATGAGAAAAGAAGAAAAATACCGAAATGGTTAAGAAAACATCCCCCTTTCCTGGGATGCAGAACATTTAGGATGTACACCTAAATCAGTTGTTAGCAAGCAGAGGGGAGGAGGTTTTTTTTTTTAGGGAAGAGGAGTCCCATGGAGGTCAGAGAAACTGAGAAAGCTCGGAGGGTCAGGGAAAGCATATAACAAGTAGAAATGAAGGCAGCTTTTAAGGAAGGAAGCAGGGATTCAGCAGTTAAAAGCTTGCTGCTCTGGTAGTGGCTCAGAGTTCCATTCCTAGCACCCACACTGGGTGGCTCACAACCAGCTCTCTGCAGCTCCGTCTGACATACTCTTCCAGCCTCTGCTGGCACCCAAATGCACATGTGCACACTAATCTTTAAAGAAAGGAAAAGCGTTCCCAAGAATGAGGGTGGGCTGGGGAGCCAAGGAAGAAGCCAAAGCCAGGGCCTCCAATTCTACCACGGTCTGGTCTTCCTCCTTTGTCTCAGGTCCTCTCCTCAGACTCTGTCCCCTGCTGCATGGCCTCAGGGTCTCCAGAGGTGTCTCTGCCTGATGACAGTGAAAATGTGTGCTTTGCTGAAGTCTCATTGGGTCATCTGTCCTAACTGGGTCTGGGTTCCTCCCAATTTGGGTCCTTCTCTCCTCCCAACCCCTCTGACGTTGACAGGAACTGCCCGAGAAGGTATCTGGATGTCAGAGAGGCTAAGGAGGTGCCTATTAGCCTTACTTTAGGAGTAAGAAGCCTAGGTGTCTTGAATCCATGACAGAGCCACGTACAGCCGCGTACAGTCAGTGAGACTGACTTGCAGAATGCTGGTTGAGTTGTGACATGCTGTGTGGCCTTTGGCTCTGTCCTCAGGCCCTGCCAAGGGTTTCTGGACCCTCAGGTGGATCTTTCTAGTAATCTCTGTGCGCGAGCACCTGGGTGGGAATGTCAGTCTTCCCAAAATGGCTGGCTAGTCTCCTCCGTTGCTTTTGACTTAGGGTTGATGTAAATATCCTGGTCAGGCTAGGTTATGGCTTTGTGGTTTTGTTTGTTTGTTTTAATGATTTGTTTATTTTTATTTTATGTGCACCAGTGTTTTGCCCAAATGTGTGTCTGTGTGAGAGTGCCAGGTCCCCTGAAACGGCAGTTAAATACGGTTGTGAGCTGTCATGTGGGTGCTGGGACTTGAACCAGGGTCCTCTGGAAGAGCAAACAGTGCTCTACACTACTGAGCCATCTCTCCAGCCCCTGGGTTTTGTCTTTTGTTTAAAGAGGTTTTTTTAACTGTATTTTTGTTTATGTTTCTGGCTGTGTGTGTGCTCTCAGGCTAACGCTGAGAGCAGCACAGTCTGTGCATGTAAGTATTGAAAAGGCGGTCTGACAACATTTGGTACATTCAGTGAAACAACAGCAGTTTGGGCTAGGGCCCATGACCTCCCATGGCTTTTAGAAAGCAATCTTGTAAAGACTCTCGGTGCCGGGTGAATCCCCTCCGGTGGACCAGGCCTTAAATCTGAGGGAGAAGTTTGTGGTTACTCCTGTAACCCTTGCGCCGTTATTGCACCGGTGGGCACATCCGGCACGCGGGTATTACAGCTTCTAGGGTTCACTACTGGATAAAATTGACTCCCCCCCACCCCCCGCCAGAGCCTGTGTAGCACCTGCTGGCACTATAAAAGCTAGCAGAGACGTTTTCAGGGAGGTTTCAGCTCCAGTTCTCTTACGACACAAGCGTTCAGCAATAGTGTCTTCCATCTAGTCATGGCGGCAACCGAGAGCAATGGCGGCAGCTTACATTATTTCAGGGACCCCGGGGCCTCCCTGGCCAGTGACTTGTATGAAGGTATCTCATATAATCATACAGTTCATTTAATAATCATAAAGTCTGGTGGCAGAATCGTTCACTGTGCAGAATGTCTGTGTTCAAACTCCCTCTAAAAAGTCCTATTTTTAAGTTTAAAAAAAAATACATATGTGAGTGTTTTGTATGTACGGGCACTGTGCGCTTGCCCTGTGCCTGCGGGGGCCAGAAAAGATCTCCTTGGAACTGGAGTTCGTCAGTTGTAAGCCACCATGTGGGTGCTGGGAACCAAACCTGGGTCCCCTGTAAGGGCAGCCAGAGCTTGCTGGGGGAAGCATGTCTAAGCTTCTGCCTTAGAGCCTTACCGTCTGCCATCCCTCTCTGTTTTCTGTGAGGCTGGGTGAGGCTAGCAGGAAACTGACTCTTAGGGTCCGTTACCTAACGGTGAACCATTTATTCAGAACAGTTTTTTCCTTCTGTTCTGGTAGAAAAGAAGTCTAGCCAAGAAGCAGCTTCGAGGAGCCTGAAGCTGAAGGAGGAGGTGCGGAAGGTGTGGCAGCATCTCCAACAAATATGGGTCAGGCTCCTCCAGGCCACAGGAAGCACGCTGATCCCACAGCACGCAGCCACGCTCCCCAGGTTTCTGACCCCAATCTCTTACCCTCAGAAGAACGCCATCAGCTTTGGGATTACGGAAGGTTTAGGTGGCCTGAGATCTCTAATCCTGACTTTGTCCTTGGGCGGCTTAGGATCATGCAGAGTCCTAACCTGTTCTTTAAAGAAGGGCGCAGTGGGAGGAGCAACAGGAGAAGAACCTGTGAGAGGGACGGGGTGGGCATCCCAAGATGTCAGGAGAGGACGACTTTTACCTGTTCCAGAACATCTCCTCGGTGGGGCCCTGGGACGGGCCTCAGTACCACATCGCTCCTGCCTGGGCCTTCCACCTCCAGGCAGCCTTCATGGGCCTAGTCTTCTTCGTGGGGACCCCACTCAACGCCATGGTGCTGGTGGCCACGCTGCGCTACAAAAAGCTGCGGCAGCCCCTCAACTACATCCTGGTCAATATCTCCCTCGGGGGCTTCCTCTTCTGCACCTTCTCCGTCTTCACCGTCTTCATCGCCAGCTGTCACGGGTACTTCCTCTTTGGTCGCCATGTGTGTGCTGTGGAGGCCTTCTTGGGCTCCGTGGCAGGTACTGCAGGCGACCGGGGCTAGGGAGAGGGCCCTTGGTGACGCTGAGTAGTTTGACCAAAATGGGATGCGTGAGCATCAAGCTCCACGGCAGCTCTCTGGACTTGCTCAGTTATGTCTGTGTTGCACCGCAAGCCAGGGGAGGCTGTCTACCCTGTCCTTCTCACGTTTGCCACAGGTCTAGTGACAGGATGGTCACTGGCTTTCTTGGCTTTTGAGCGCTACATCGTCATCTGTAAGCCCTTCGGCAACATCCGCTTCAACTCCCAGCACGCACTGGTAGTCGTCCTAATGACTTGGACCATTGGTATCGGGGTGTCCATCCCACCCTTCTTTGGCTGGAGCAGGTGAGAGCGTGGTCTGGAGTGGGGAGAGATTGGGCATGACCTTGTACTCGGACCTGAGCTGGGGTGAGGAAAAGGCACCCGAGCCAGCAATGTTTACCCTGCGGTTGGAATGTCTGCCGTCTCTCCCGGCATTCTCCTAACGGGGGAAGCTCCTCCAGGAACCCCAGTCCCCACTCTGCTGGCTCTCAGCGAGAACCCAGACTGAGCGCGCGGGCCTTTCCAGGTTCATCCCTGAGGGCCTGCAGTGCTCCTGTGGCCCGGACTGGTACACTGTGGGCACCAAGTACCGAAGCGAGTACTACACCTGGTTCCTCTTCCTCTTCTGCTTCGTCGTACCCCTCTCCCTCATCTGCTTCTCCTACTCGCAGCTGCTGAGGACCCTCAGAGCTGTGAGTAGCTTCTGACAGGGTCAGGTAGGAGTAAGCGAGGAGGCTCCAGGGGATGGGGTGTGTGTCCACTCTAGGGTATCTATGGTCAAATCAGCAAATAAGGAGAGAGGAGCGAGAGGGGAAGGGGCGCATGAAACAGAATGAAACACTGCGGTTACAACTCAGTGGTGAAGGACTGGGCCATTCCCAGCACAGGAGGCCGTGGGGGAAGGAGTGAAAAGGCCAGGAGAGAAGCAAAGCTCAAGGACTGGGCCATTCCCAGCACAAGAGGCCGTGGGGGAAGGAGTGAAAATGCCAGGAGAGAAGCAAAGCTCAGGCAGCAGGGCGAGCGAGTCTCCCAGAGGGTCCAGGCTGAGGCCAGGAGAGGAACTTCACCCTCGTGCTCAACTCCAGGTGGCGGCTCAGCAGCAAGAGTCAGCTTCCACCCAGAAGGCTGAGCGGGAGGTCAGCCACATGGTGGTGGTGATGGTGGGGTCCTTCTGTCTGTGCTACATGCCCTACGCCGCCCTGGCCATGTACATGGTCAACAACCGGAACCACGGGCTGGACTTGCGGCTCGTCACCATCCCTGCCTTCTTCTCCAAGAGTTCATGTGTCTACAATCCCATCATCTACTGCTTCATGAATAAGCAGGTAAAGCTGTCTACATTCCCATGAGGTCCTAGACTATTAGAGCCTGGCTCTTCCTCTGCTGGCAACTTCTAACTCAGAACCCTGGACTCCACACAGGGCTTCTAGAGGAGGCAAACCACAGAAACAGCCAAGCACGCCAGGATGCCCTTAGTGGGCACACGAGGGCAGAGTGCAGCTCCTAGAACACTAGAACAGGGGAGGCCAGAGATCCATTGTTCTAAGGTGGGCTGGAATGGGAAACTGGGGACTGAACACGAGCCTTTCACAGGCCAGGCAGACTCTGAGTTATACACCCCTACCCTTAGGTTCTCTGTCTTGCTGGAAAGTAGTTAACATCAACATGAACTAAAGCCAGAAAACTATTTTTTTTTTTAAAGGAGGGTTAAACTATGTAGCCCTAGGTATCCTGAAACACTTACAGAAACTAGGCTGGCCTTGAACTCAGAGTCAGCCTGCCTCTGCCCCGAACTGCTGGAGTTAAAAGGTGTACAGCACTATGCATGTCCAGCCTTCTGCAAATTCTTAATGCAAGGTGGGGTGTAAGGGGTTTTCAGAGCAAGGATGACACCAACTCTTCCTTCCAGTTCCGGGCTTGCATTCTGGAGATGGTGTGCAGGAAGCCCATGGCAGATGATGCGGACACGGCTGGCTCCCAGAGAACTGAAGTTTCTGCCGTCTCTTCTAGCAGAGTTGGCCCGCACTAAGGACCCCCAATCAGCCTCTTGCCAGCAAACAGAACTGCAGGTTTAAATTTCCGCATTCTCCAGTAAGATCCTAACCATTAACAATGCAGGGAAGATGGGAAGGGGACCGATGGAATTCTGGGGCGTCGTAAGTTTCATCTTCCTGTTACTCTCTTCCTGTCAGCAAGGCCAGAAAAGGCCATTTCAACAGTCCCAGCTTCTACTAGGTGGCACCTTCTCCCCTGGAGGGCTGAAAGAGAAGGCTGTTTTCCCAGAATGTGAGCGACACTTTCCTGTCCTTTTTTCTTCCCTCGCTGGGGAGCCAAGATGACAGACCCTGTGACAGAATATGGCTGACACAGGGGCAGTGGGAAGAAAGGGCTGCAGACACCAAATAGCCACAGTGAACTCAAAACAAGTCTCTCAGTTGCTGCAGCCTGGGCACTGGCTGCCACAGCCAGAGCAGCCCCAGCTCCCTCAACCAGCAAGCACCATTCCGGGTGTTCTCCCCTCCGCTTGGCTGTTCTAGGTATAGGTCTCCCCTCCGCTTGGCTGAACGGATGTATCCATTTAAAGCTATGCACTGATTAAAGTTAGCGGTTTAATCCCCGATGTCCTCAAAATGGATTTGCATGTTTCAGTACCATTTATAAATCAAACCCAAGTGCTAAAAACATAATTATTCCACTCTCCCTACACCTGCTGCTCCTGGAAAAGGAGCAGAGCGCCTTTGAAATGAAAACCAAGATCCATGTGTGTTCAGTTATAGCCAAGAAAGGCTGGGTCAGTATCAGGCACTGGAAAGCAGGAAAGTCATAGCTGCGAGAAGAAACCAGAAACCTCAGGATCAGAAAAGGACTGAGCGCGAGGGAGAAGGCAACGCTTCCTCTCAGGCTGGGGGGCCTGGTAGGCCTTCTGCAAAAACCCTTTTCTGTGACACTTTACAACACAGAATGCCAAGCTACAATCCCATTTCTTCCTTTCTTTTTGGTTTCTAACGACTTATTTTTACTTCATGTGCACTGGTGCCCCGCCTGTATGGGTGTCTTTGTGAGGTGTGAGAAACTGACCCCAGGCCTTCTGGAAGAGCAGTGCTCTTAACTGCTGAGCCATCTCTCCAGCCCCTTCCTGGTTTCTTGAGACAGGGTCTAACTACATAGCCTTGGCTGGCCGTGAACACAATCACATTTCTAAGAGAATGAAGACACACACACCTCTGATGAATGTAAACAGTTTTATTCAGAAACAGATAGGCACCTGTTTGCATTACAGAATATGAAACTTGGTTTACACTCTATAAAGAAAGAACCAATACTCAAATTCAAGAGAGCTTAACATTCACAGAGCATACCCTATGGACGTGCAGCCATTGCTCACTGCCTCAGACTCGATTTAAACCAGAAACCCAAACCCCAACACTGTGTGGGGCTCGTGGAGATGAGAGCCTGTCCAGAATATGCCATCCTAGCACCCTTGGCCTGCTGCTTGAGTGTGTGACTTTCTGCCAGTCAGGCTCTGTGCACCTGATGAGCTGGCTGGAAGGCCCTCTTGCCACACAGGGTATGGCGCAGCCGTCCTCAGCCAGGGTTGGTGGCAGTAACACCTCTGGTCTCCTTAGCAACAGAGTCGAGGCTCTGGAAGGCAGAGGATGGTCACTGCTCCTTCACTGGGGTTAAAACGGCTGGGTGAAAACTACCCCACACCGGGCTCTTCACCACACCAAGCAGCCCACTCAGCGGGACTGTGGAAGACCAGAGGGTAGGTCCAGGTTCAGATGTGACCATCACCCAGCACCGCCTGAATGTATTATTCAGAGATACAGGAAATAATACAGATTATACAGACATATATTTATCTTAGTAACCTGAGGGTTAAAGACTTGGAGTATAATAATTCTTAGGAGGCCCATCAGCAAGAGTCTAAAATGTGGGTAAATGGAGCTAGCAACAGATTATTATTTTTTTTTTTTTATAAGGATGGCAACCTGATGACCCATGACCCTCCTACCCACCTTTTATGTCAGAGAGAAAAGGGGATAGATGATAAAATGGGTTAAAGACAGGAAGGGTGAGCAGTGGTCCTCAAACCAAAGCGCCCCTGTAGGTCCTTCTGTCCTTGAGTCACAGCTCAAGCTCTGGTAAACAGAGGCCTGGTGAAGAGTGGTCTGCATTCTGAGGTATGAGGATCCCTGGTCAATCAGCAGCAAGGAGGCTTTTAGAAACCAGCCCACAGGGTAAGAACACTGCGACCAAGCTTGTAACTAACACTGCGATGTATCTGCTGTCCACCAGAGAAAAGGAAGGGAGGAATCCCCCTGGATCAGGGTAAATGCTTCCATGTGAGGTGCCCAAATCATTGACCTTATGGTTTCATAATCGAATCTCCATTCAGTGGTCAATTTTCCTGTTCAAGGCACTTTCAATGGCATGACTGGAAAAAGTCAATTTTAACAGCAGTAAAAGCCAAGATTAATTCTTCGGAAGGCGTGGCCGGGACTACAGTGACTTCAAAAGGCGCACAATAGGAGTAAAATGCGTGCCCTGCACACAGTTTTTCCTTTCGATTCCCAGCTGTTTCTAGATGGAAAAGCTCTGCGAAGAGCTGGAAATGGCCCTCAGAAGAAGTCACATGCATCTTGACTGACTTTAGCACAGTGGCCCTAATTCTCCCACCGCAGCTGTGCTTGACAGAATTAGCAAACTGCCAGTCCTAAAGGGGGAAGGGGGAAGTCAGGCTGCGTCAGGCCTCGTTACAGCACAGGGTCCACCCTTTGCCTGGTTGATGGCAGGCGCGGGGGCTGGGCCTGTGGCAGCCGAACAGCTACATCAGATAAGAAAAAGCACTATCTCTAAACATAAATCATGGAGTTCATGATTTTCCTTTCTTTCCTCTTCTGAACATTTATTACCTCAGGCTTTTAAAAAAATTAGTTAAGTGAGAATTATAAAAATATGTGGTAAGGGGTTGAGAAAGAGTCAAGGCTGATGTCTGCCTACAGGTGTGGGCGGAGGATCTTTATCCTTCATATTACACTCCCAACTAGAGAGCAATATAAACTAAGCACACCATGTTATGCACCAGACAAAGTGTAACCTACACACACGGGCGTCCTACTCAGGTGTTCTTTAGAGGCGCGGGTCCCTCCGGTCCTCAGAGGGGACAGGAATGGGGACGGGGTGATTTTCATTATCTCAATACGCCTTTTCACGTCTTAAAAAGTTTGTGATAACAGTCTTAGTAGCGCAAACAATTTCTGTGAACCAGAGCTGTAAAAATAAATTATTTGGAAGAAAGGCAGGCCCCTCTGTCTGCAGCTCAGAACTCATCGTGCCGTACTAGGGCCTCCCCGAAATCTGTGGCCTGGCTGCCCACAAATAAATCATACTTGTCGACAATCTCCTCCTTGGTGAGCTTGCCATCCTGGAAACAGAGCGGACAACAGTGACACATCTCCTTGCCACTCCACATTCAAAAAGACTGCCCTAGTTCCCTCTACATGCGAACACATTATCCACTATCCCTCCTTCATACACACACACACACACACTGGCATCTTTTCTCAGCAGTCAAGTCACTAGTGAGTAGGACTACAGTTCAGCGGTAAGGTGCTTGCCTAGCATCGAGGTCCTGGGTTTCAGCCCTGTACTAGGAAAGCTGGACAGAAAGGTTGTTCAAGGCTAGTCTGGGCTACAGGAGATTCTATCTCAAGGGAGAAAGTCAGAAGTCCCTAGAAAGACTTTGAGCATCGCCAGACTGCTCGAGCCTGGAGTGACGTACCTTGTTCTGGTCTGACTCATAGACCAGATGCCTGGCTTCTGCCTCTGCGTGGTCATAGTCGGAAGGGAGGATCCAGTCCTTGGTCTCCTCCTTGTCCATCTTCCCATCGCGGTTCTTATCTCGAAACTCAACAAACTGCTCTCGCTCTGTCTTCACCCACTCTGGCTCATCAGCATTTCCATCATGGCTGTACATATCACCTGTGTGCAGACGTGTGACAACAGAAGAATCAGCCTGTTCCCACGGCTGCCTTGGCTGGCCTGCCTTGGCCCTTCTCGGCAGCCAGCAGCAGCCACACAGCTTAGGCTGGAGAGACATTAGGAAGCACGGTGTTTGTCTTGTGGATTAACTGCTGATCTTTCAACAACTGCATTTCCAGCTGCTGACTGAGCAGCAGGAAAGTGAAGAGTTTGTATTTTTTCAAGCAAAAATAAGGAGGTGACGTGGAAATGGGTGCTGCATGTATATTAAGCTCAGCACGTGGGAAGGCTGAGGTGGGAGTTCAAGGCTACCTTGGGCTACATGAGAACTTGTCTCAAAATAAAAAATAAGCAAGCTAATACCAACTGAGACCCCCTTGCTTACTGCACTGCATTTCACCCCAAGTGGTTAATCATACTGGACCACTGTTTAAGGAGGTAAAGTCCTAAATTCTCAAGGAAACTTCCTGACTGGCTAACACCTACATAAGTGCACTGTGCCAGTGGTCTTTGGTCACAACAAGCAAAGATAGACACTCTCAAGAGTACACTGAGAAAGGACAGGCATGAGAGAATCAAATTCCCAATTCTTAACTGCACATATATATTTTTAAAAACGTAACTGTCTAAGAATGTGGCATGGCTCTTAAGGCCTCTGCCTAGCGTCCGTCCCCCTTTCCTCTTTCCTCGCCTGTAATGAAACGTAATCAAGTGTACGAAGCTCTAGAGATAGATGAGTTACAAACACTGGTGTTGGTCTTGAGAAAGCAGATGACCAGGAAAATAATAAATGCTTTCACATGGCAAGAGGTTTCTAATTTTTTATGTGTAAAACAAAACAAAACAAAAAACCCACCAAAACCAAAACTGAGACTCAGAATTTGAGCCACAAGATCATTAAAAACAATTCTGATGATGAATCATACCACAAATTTTGGCATGTAACTAAAAAGCTGGGAGAACAAAGGAGCATGGCTGTCACAAAGGCTTCAGGTACTTCCTCTTCTTAAAAAAAAAAAAAAAAAGATTCTATTTGAAATTATGTGTGTACGTGTGTGTGAGTCTGTGCAGCCTACAGACTTCAGTATCAGGTTCTCTGGAGCTAAGTGGTGAGCTGTCCTAAGTGGGTTCTGGGAGCAAATTTGGGTCCTCTGCAAGAGCAGCTTTAACCACTGAGCCATCTACTCAGGGTAGTGACATACAACTGTCATTTACAAATAGAAAGATACTTGAAAAATTTAAGATAAATTTGTTTTACATGAAAGCAACACGCATATAGTAGGTGCCATTTTGTTCCTGGTTTTGAGACAGGTTCTTAGTCCAGACAGGCCTCAAACTAGAGTTTCCTGCTTCAGTCTTCCAGGGCTGTGATCACCTGTCCAACTATTCAGCTCTGTCTTTACATTTTAAGAGTAATTTCATCTGTGAGACACTTAAGACTAAGTTTTACTCTGGAAAACAAGCCTTCTGATATTTCAATCTAAATACATAATACACTTGAAAGTAATTATGTCAAGATAATTAAAACACTCAAGATAAAATGAATAAAGGAAAAACACAAGTTTGCAAAAAGTAAAAATAAATAAAATCCAAATAGTGGAGAATGGCTTCTATTTTTATTTTCAAGACAGCACTATTTCTTGTCCATTTTGTGACCAAGTCCCCCTGCCTCAGCCTCCTAAGTGCTGGATAACGGGCAGGGGCCACCACGCCCAGTTTATTATGTTAAGATGTCTCATCGAGTATTACAGGACAACTGTGTGCACACCTACAATCCCAGTCCTCTGAAGGCAGAGCCAGGAGAATCACAAGTGTGAGGCCTTGATACACAGCAAGGCCCTGTTTCCAAGAACAAAAACAAAAACAGAAGCTAAACTATACCATATAAGCACAGTGTAAAGATATATGAGTAAAGATGAGGAAAGTATTTTACTTCATTTAAAAAGTGTTCAATCCACCAGTAAGACTAAGGAATTAAGGTTTTGGTTCAGACTATCTTTAAAAAGTTTAGAAGTATAAATGCATCATGCAGATACTTAAGGAAGTGCTGACAGACAGAAAGGAAAAATGATTAGGATCTGGGCCAGATTAGACAGGGAGTAAGGGTTGGACAGAAGCTCCATCACCTTTCTTTAGGTCTTTCCTAGCCAGCAGAAACTGGTACATGCCTACAAACTGGACACTACTGTTGGAGACAGAATATGAGGTCCATCAATCCCAGCACTCCAGTTGCAAAAGCCTGCACTAGTTACTGACTTGCAAAAGAAAATGACACATGCTCTCTTGTTTTGCAGCTTCAAAATGGGTTTGCTCTGCTCCTGGATCTGCAGGACATAGGAAACCTCCATCTCCTTATCTGGCCTCAGTGCTTGCAAGTGATATTACTTATTGGAAGAAGCCTCAATTTCTCTGCTTCAGAAGTTTTAAATGGGGAACTCAATTTTTACTGTAGTAACAAAAGGCCAAAACCAAGAATACTTAAAATTTAAATGTAGAAAACCTGGCAAACATCAATTTGTATTAAGAAAACAAGATATCATCATGATGAAACTCAATCATTTCACAAAAAACTGTCACTGTTCATCCTTTCTGTAGCAGCGGTGATAAAAGAATATCCAAGTAAAGGAGCAACATGGCCAGCTCAGCTTAGTGACAGCAACAGGCAAGCCTTAAGACACCCCTTCAGGTGTAATACTTTAATACCTGAGGTGATAATCAGAGACTGAAAAACAAAACAGAAACTCACTAGAGAAGATGCTACCAGCAAGTACAAATGTAGAGGACAACAGAACTGAGAAACCAGCCAGGCCAGGTGGCACACCCCTGTGATCCCAGCACTTAGGCAGGCAGATCTCTGTGAGTTCAAGGTCAGCCTTGAAATTCTACAAAGTGAGTGCAGGACAGGCGAGGCTACACAGAGAAACAAATAAACAAACAAGCCCTGTCTCGGAAAACCAACCCAACCCAACCCCCCCCCCCCCCCCCAAAAAAAAATAAGAACTGAGAACCCAAAATAAATCTATGTATCTATGGCCACAAGTTTCTCAATAAAGAAAGAATAACGTCTTCAAGAAATGGTACTTGGAAATCTGGATGTCCCTCTATACAAGACTGACAAAATCAAACCTAAACACAAAACTCTAACTGTAGGATCAGGAGAAGTACATAGGCGCGAGACCTGTACATGCAAGGATGCCTTGTCTAAGACTCCAAAACACAGACACCACATGAAGTCATGCACAACGACAAAGCTTCTGCACAGCAAGGCAAGAGACAGAGGAAAGAGACAACTCTGCAGAGAGGGAGAAAATAGCCACAAACTATTCATTTGATAAGGTATTAGTAACAGGAACAGATACAGAACAACTGAAATGGTTACAAACTCAAGGCGGTAAGACCCTGTTCTCAATATAACAAAAGATGTGTATTAGGAAAAAAAAAAATAAGTACGTTTCAAAACAGAATGCCATTTGTAACAGACATCGGTTAATTATAAAGCAATTAGCAAAATTATTCTCAGGATGATAAAAACAAGTCACAGAGAAGCAGGGAGCAGATGTGCTTAGGATACAGCATTACATACATACAAACTTCAAATAAAAAATCTTTCCAATCCCCTCAAGTTTCATTTGTAGCATCCCTGCTGCTCCCCCAGAGACAACTGAAATAAACTCCCTAACTGAAATGGGAACCTCTGAGGGAACTGAGACAGAAGACGTGCGCAGCACGGACAGGGAATCGCTGCCTGGCCGCCCATGCCCTGGTCCTTCCTGCTCCACCTACTCCAGACTGGCCAAGGCCTCCTCTTCTTGTTCTTACAGCTTCCTGCCTAGTGCTGAGATCCCAGGACTGCATTACCACGCCTGGCTTTTCCGTCAGTTTTTTTGATATGCTTTCTTTTTTATGTGTGTATGCATGTATGTGTGTGTCTTTGTGAAGGTCTGTGCATGCATGAGTACAGGTGGCTACGGAGGGCAAACGAGGGCATCAGGTTCTCTGAAGTGAGAGTTATGGGCAGTTTTGAGACATAACCCAGCGTGGGTGCCGGGAACCAAACTGAGGTCCCTGCAGCTCAGGTTCCACTAGTCATCCCGTCACTCTGGCTTCACAGCGTATTGAGTTAACCCGTGAGATAAACTGTTTCCAGGCATGATTACAAGGACACTGTGAACAGGAGTCTTACCAATATATTCTTCTAGATCAATGAAGCCATCACCATTCTTGTCTATATCCTCCATGGTTTCCTGAGTAGGAAAGAGTAGAAGGAGTGTTAGTTTCTCACTGAACTGTCTAGAAGACAGTATGTGTGTATGGAAGACAACACACAGCTGTAATCGCAGACGCCTGGGAGGTCAGAGACAGGAGGATCAGAGGAGCAATGCTCATTCCCAAGTAGAAGGTCACGCCAGCCCACACTGCAAATCCAGGCCAGAGACATGGAGTGATAGCCCAACTCCAAGCCAGCCAGCCAGCCAGCCACAAAGGCACACAAAACAAAAGCAAGCCAGGCGCAGCAGCGCACACCTGTAATCCCAGCACTCAGGGAGCCAGGTGGAGCTATATTGAGTTCGAGACCAGCCTTTTCTACAAAGCGAGTCTAGGACAGCCAAGGCTACACAGAGAAACCCTGTCTCGAAAAACAAACCCAAACTAAAAACCCCAAACCCAAACAAAACAAAGGAAGAAAGAAAGAAAAGGAAACTCATATTCTTCTAGTTAGAAAACTTAAACCTTAGCAATTTTCCTGCTTCTGTCTATCCTAACTATGAGTCCTTTGGTTAATTAGGGAGAGGCCTCTACACTGTCAGTAAACTGCCTTCTGTGAGAACTTTCGAGGATCACGTCATTACTCGACTTCTGAACATCAATCATAGGATACTTGAAAGAAAATGGTTTCCTTTGATTCTTAACTTCATGAAACCCCAATGAAATGGAAAAGTACATTTCTGACGGACAGTGCTATGATAAGCGTAAAGCACTCAGCCATGATGCTGCTTAGCGTCTGCATCCAGGCTTGGGCACAGCAGGCCACTGCTCCACCACAGAGCAGAGTAAGCAGCAGGAGAGGCTGGGCTGCTGTGGGGACGCCTCGTCTTGCCCACCTGCACAACTATGTCTTTCATGTAGTCATACTCCTCCGGGTGCAGGAAGGCTGTAAACTCCTCCTTTGTGGCAATGAGGTCTCCATCCTGGTCTGCCATCTTAAACCTCCGCTCATCTCTAACCATCATCTGTTTGTAATTAAATCCGTCATCAGGGTCAGGATCATCTAGAAAACACAAATGTAAGGAAAGTCTTAAAAGGCTTCCAGAAAATACAAGTGGATAAAGCAAACAATGAACACCCAGGCGACGTTGAGCCAAGCACGAGGGAATGGCTTTTGAATGTAGAAGCAGCAGAAGAAAGGCACTTGGTTTGGATTAAAGCCGCAGTGGCACACCTCATTAGTGCAGGCTGAAGGTAAGGGCTGCCGGTTGACACGGAGCAACTTGACTGCGGGCCGTTTAATCACTGCTGGTGGCGATCAGGTAATAGAAGGCTTGAAGTTCCTAGCTCTATCTGGGAGGCAGTGGGGACCTAAACACTGCCTAGGCGCGAGATTACCACCTCTGGCTACGCGGCCTCGGTAAGCAACACCTTTCTTTATTGTTTATGTGCAGGGAGTGTTTTCCTGCACGTGTGCGTGTGCACCACGTATGTGCCTGGCGCTTGCAGAAGTCGGAAGAGAACAGCGGATCTCTCGGGGCTGGAGGTACAGATGGCCGTGAGGCACCACGTGGGTGCTGGGACTCAAACCCAGGTCCTCTTCAAGAACAAGGGCTCTTCAGTGCACAGCCAACTCTCCAGGTCTTGGGCAAGAAACTTAACTGTACCTCAGTCTCCTCGTCTGTAACATAAGATTGTGCCTGCCTTATAGGTGGTTATAAAAACTTTAAACAAGAAACACACACACACACACACACACACACACACACACACACACACACACA